AATCCTTTGCTATTTCGTTGCTAGATTAGGTGTGTATTTTTTCCACGTGATTTAGCGATCGAACTGTATCCATCACGAACATTTTGTCGTAATTCCATCGCAATTCCATTTTTAAACTTTACATTTCATATTGATCATCATTCTATCATAAAATTATCGCTAAATAGCAGTGATTTTACATGCATTGCTAATTTTCGATGCTAATTCACAATTTTCTTGTAGTGTATATATATAAAAAAAAGTACTACAATAATTTTACATAGATAAGGCTCATCTATTAACTAGTCTAATTATAGTTTGTTTACTTGATATCCAAAAAGACTCTTTTCGACCTCAAGTAGGTAAAGAATAACTTTTTATCCTAAAGTACCATAACTTAGTGTAATCGGTGCATTGATCTATATTGCTATCTTATACAACATTTTCTATAAATTTATTAGTAAGAAATAGTTCTACTCCAACATAAAGGCATTGAGAAATAGCATTAAACATATACTAAGTTTTCTCTAAGAAACAATTGATATGAGCTTATTTTACTTTAATAAATCGAAGTTATGATTAATTGGCTATACAAATGCAGAGTTATTTATCCGATCCATAGAAAACCCGCTTACAAACCGATTATGTATTTATACATGGTGATACAACTATATCATAGTATTTTATGAAACAAACTACGAATCGCTATATCTTCAAACCATGCAGGATTACTAGCAATTCATGAGCTAAGTTAAGAATGTCTTTGGTTAAGATCAAAACCCATTATATTACTAGCAATGAAGTTCTAATAATATTATATGAAAATAGTAATGCTTGCATAATTCAATTAAAAAAAGAGTACACTAAAAGTAACGGAACATAATATATATCACAAAAGTTATTTTTCACACATTATATTCAACAAAGTGGTGATATTACTATCAATAAATTTGATCAAGTGACAATTTGCGTGACTTATTCACTAAGGCATTACCTACCATAAATTTTGAGGAAATGGTTCATAAGATTGAGATGTGTCGTCTTAAATATCTTAAATGATGTTTTCAAAAGAAAAAGTTCATCATAGAGATTAATGTGTACAAAAAATATTATTTTTTTTCTTTACTATGATTTTTTTCAAGGTTTTGCCTAATCGATTTTAACAAAGTATATTTCTTATATAATAGGCATTCAAGGATGGGTGTTATGAAGTAATAAATATCTATACGAATGCTCATATTCATTGCACATTTCCATAATTCGTAGACCTTAATGGAATTCAATTCATCGTTTAATATGAGAAATTAAAAAGATGGTGCACTTGATTCAACTATTTATGCACCTTTTAATTGTTTATAATTCATTCTAATTATCATTCCAATATTGAAACTTATAAATAAGCTTGATTGTTCATTAATTGGTAAAATAGAGTTTTATGGAGAAAGTGAGAGTTGTTTTAGAATTGTTATCACTTGTATTCTCTTTTTCTTATAATAAATTCATTTTTCTATCATTTTTCTTTTCAATTTTTTTTTATTATTATTTCAACATAAGAGAACTTACTCTCTTTTTTAATAAAAATTTAAAAAAATTTATTAAATTTTTCTGAATGTACCAAATTTATGTGAATAATGGGCTTGTAGGATCTTTAAAAAAAATAACAAATAATCTTGATTAATGCATAACCTAGTTGAGAATACCTCTTATATTGGGGGGAAAAAAAAAGATGATAGTAACACATCAACTAGGCTCCGTGACTGTTATGCTGATAATTAAGGCGAAATTTTTACATTTAAAAAGTCATCACGTGAGGATTGACATAGAAGTCGTTAATTTGATAAACGACGTTGAGCCAATATCATAAGAAAAGAGTTTTCCAATATTGAAGTCAATGGGTCAATATCGTTTCCAGAAAGGACCCTCAGTACATTGGGGATGTGTGAAACGTGAAACCACAGGATTTAATCGACGAGTATTTATTTAATTTTGAGACTCATATAATTATTTTTTATCAAATGAAATAAATTTTGTATGCTTTGGTGGGTTTTCTATTGTTGACAGAGCTGCCGGTTGTACTTCTGCTTGAACATTGTCCAGGACAGACAGTCGCTGTGCACCACAAAGTCAAGCACATTAGCAGCTAATTTGTCGGCTTTCCGCGCTGTACAGCGGATTAAATTAAAAATATTTATTTCATATGATAGATAATTTATTAGAATATATAAAATTAAAGATAAAAAATAAAATTTCATTTAATTTTATAATATTGTATTAAAATTTTGTATTTTACTTTGTTTTTATATTTTTATAAATTTTACTGTTAAAAAAACAAGATTCATTTTTTATTATACATTTATTCTTAAATAAAAACAAGTAATAATATAAATATAAATTTTAAAAAAACGTCTTAATATTTTTTTATAAAATTACATCAGAAAAATAAAACAATAATTAATTAAAAACTTGTATAAAAATTAATTAACGAATCCTTTTTAACATTTTAAAAATATATATATTTGATTTATATATATTTATTTATAAAATAATCACTAATATTAATATAAAAAGATATCTTAGAATTATTAAGTGATTTTTTTATAATTTTATTTTAATTATTTTATTTTAAAAATAAATTTAAAATATTAAAAAAATTAATAATAAATAGTTGATATCGATTTTATGTGTATAAATACATACTTATTTTTCAATAGAACTAATAATCTCAACAATTTTTTTTATAAGCGATTTGGCGGGAAAAGGAGGGAAGGTTGTACCAAATGAATAATTAAATGCCTATTGTCGCAAAAACATCATTATGATGCCCTAATTTTTAATTCTAGTGGTTGGCTTGCTTTTCAAAACCCACAGCAATGAGCTTTCTCATCGCTGACTTGACTTTCTTGATGCTTAAAGAAATAAGCCATGATTAGACTATAATTTTTTGCCATATTCTTGTGTTCATATTCCATAACACATTGCATTTATGGGTCTCGTACATCTAAATGACAACTTCCTTCATAATCCAAACACCTATAAAATAAAAACAGTATTCTTAACCATCAATTTAAAATATATTTCTAGTCAATTTATACTGGAATATATACGAACAACATGCAATATAAATCAAAAAATATTTTTTAACAAACTTAAGTTGGAAAGAATGGATAAATAAAGTGCAATAAAAACAACTAAAAAATTTATTTCGATAAAAATTAATTATATCAAAAATAAACAAATACAACACTTAAATTCTATTATTTAATTGATTACTTATTTAAAAGAAAAACCTTATTTGGAAATCCATACACAGAAAAAATATATATATTTATTAAAAATTTAAATTACATGAAAAAAAGAAGAAAAATAATAATTTAAAGAAAATTTTCTTAAAAAATGACAAATTGAAGAGATTAGTTTTAAATAATAAGAATATATATATATATTAATTTAAAAATCTAAAAACATGAGGGGCTAAAAATAACAGAGACAAAATGGAATAAAGTAAAAACATGTGGGGCCAAAAAGTTTAGAAAAAAAAAAGCATGAGAGACCAAAAATATCTTTGAGCAACATCAGGAACAAAACACAATGTAAAATTTGTATTTGATTGCTCAAAAACAATTCAAAGATCACAAAAATACCACTATCAAAAATTATCTCGCAACTAGTAATGATAATTAATATAATTTAATATTCAGGAGAAATAAGTGATTAATGACTAGAAAATAAATCTTTGAACTGTATTTCCTATAATAATAATCATAACCGATAACAATGCAATAAAATATAACATATTGAGCCTTTATCTTGTCACTTTCCTTAAAAGTATTCTACCAAGTTTTCAATGTTATTACTTTTTTCATTAATTTTATATTTCATTTTGTACAGCATAATAATATCACTCTTTGAGAGGATTTTAAAATAAATCCAACTTTTAAAATATCCTCTTTAAGGTTAGTGAATTTTTAAAAATTGTAAAGTGTTGTAACTAATGCGGTGGACAATGAAAATTATTTGAAAGAAATATTTAATTAACAATTTTTTTTATTTTTAAGAATTCAATATTTAATTTATATCATCTCAAAAGACTTTATATTTTTGTGTTATAAATAAAAGAGCTTAATTATCATTAACTATTATGTTTCACTCACATTGTGTGTACCTGCTTTGATAATTTTAATTGAAATTTCCTATATATATAATGAGTTAGTTGGGTATTTTTTTGTATTATTATTATTATTATTATTATTATTATTATTGGATTTTTATGGTATAACACATTATATAATCACATCTTTCTATCGTTTTTGTATAATAACACATTATTTAATCACATTTTCTATTAATTTAAAAGTTAATTAAATACATAGATTGCATCAATTTATTTAATATGTTCCTTATCTTAGTAACTTGGTTGACAAAATTGAATAACCTAACTAATCATGCATATTCTTTAGTTTGGTTGACCCATAATTTTTTTCTTTTTCTTGATAACAAAAAGCATTTAATGAAAATGGAAAATAGTTAAGGAAAAAAAAGAAAATAAAAAATTAAGGATAATCCCATTCTAAAAAAAGTCTATTCTATAATTGATCTCTATACAGTTCTAATTTTTTTAATTAAGACCCTTTATTATCTTTTAATTTGATTGAAACGCTCTATTTTTACAAATTTATTGATTAAAATTCTCAATTATAATACTGTTAACTATTCATCATATGTGGTAAGTTAAAATTAACAATAACCAATTAGATAACTACTCATGATAATGTGAACCCTCGTTCCCTTTGCCTTTATCTTTTCCTTCCCTCACACTCCAACTTTGTCAATCAGATCTCCTCTCCCTAACTTTTTTACTTTTTTTTAAACTTGAACATTTGCAATTTATTAATAACATCGACCCTGTTCATGAACGTATATAAAATGGTTCTCTATCCCATTCATTCTATCCTAACATAAAAGTAATAAATAATCAAATAATGCTTTCATAAGATAGCATCAAATTCTAAAGTCACGAACTATCAAAAATCAGTCTCCACTGAGACAATAGAATTGGCAGCACTGGTAATTCTTGGCCACAAATCAGCACACTCCTTTCCTGTAAGTCCAGTGATAGCAGATCCTTTAATTTCTCCTTTGGGGTTGACAATGACACCAGCATTATCTTCAAAATACGTGAAAACACCATCCTTGTTGTGCCAAGGTTTACGCTGCCTAACAATAACGGCAAGCATCACCTTTTTCCTCAGATTAGACTTTCCTTTCTTCACTGTAGCCAGATGTCTCCAATGCAAGCTGATGACAAAGATTAAGACGTCTTTGATTCCTTTCATTGATATGATGAATAGATTCTTCGCTCTTGTTTTATCTGCGTAGTTCACCGTCGCTGCCATCCGTAGACCTAGTGACTTGTGAAACTTGTTACCAGTCGTTCCTCCCTTTCCTCGCTTCGAAATTTTTTATTATTTCACCTTCTGTCTTCGCCTCCTCCTTTCTCCTCTCCCTAACTACTATCCTTATTCTTCAGTAGGAATGATTTAGTCAGGGTTTGTGATCTCCAAAGCTGCTCTTGCTCTAATTTATAGAGATTATAACCATTTTATTAAGTCATCTGGATTCATCAAGTATGTAGAAGAAGATGCTCATTTTCAAGATTAGGGACTTGTTTTATTAGTTATTATTAATTTTAACTTATAATGTAAGATGAATATTAAATAATATTATAATAGAGATTATCGACCAATAAATTTATAAGAATAAAATCTTATAATCAAATTAAAAAATAAAAAAAAATTTAATAAAAAAAATTAAAACTTTACAAAGATAAATTATAGAATAAACCCGGTTTAAAAATAATAAATACAATTATAGGCCTTTTTATTTATTTTTTTCGAACATTTATGGGCATTAAATCACGATCCTTAAGAACAATTTCAATTGAATTCTTGAAGAAAAAAAAATCCTCATTATCTTTAGAACCTAAGGACTTAGATCTGAATTTGATCTAATAGCCTTCTCAATTTCTCATCTTCTGTCCTCCATCTTCTCTCACGGGTTTGTTACTAGTTGAGAAATTCGAGCAAGAGTTGAAAGCACAAAGAAAAGGCATGCGGTTTTTTAAAGTGTTTTATAAATGATGATCTCGAATGGTTTTGAAGTTGAAATGAGTTTACGTATTATCTCAGTATCAATTCTAAAAATTGGAAGAACCAACATCAACAAAATTTCATCAATCACCTTCATTAAAGTCATCAACATACTAAACCCTCACGAGTTAACTCATCACATTCCCTAACTGACTCAAATTACAGATCTGAAAGCTCTATCATCGCCTCTTGAATTCATGATTCGAAACCTCCAAAGTTGTTGTGGTGCTTCTCTCCCTTAATTGAAGACTCAACACACCAAGCTCTACCCAATAGCTTCCTCCTACCCTCACTTGACATCAATGCCAGCAATGTTCTTTTTCGGTTCATCAAATCATCTATTGAGTTCTAGCACATGGAAGCAATAAGGAAGATTTAGTTCTCGTGAAGAGAAGGAATAAAAGAAAAGACGATGACACAAACAGACATAGAAGAAAGAAAAGATGAGTAAGTGAAGGAAGAAAAATAATTCAAAAAAGAAGAGAAAGGGAGAAGAGAGGCCAGACATGAGCGTTAAATGCTTCGTGAAAAGAAAAGATGATAACAAAAAAGGACATAGAAGAAAGAAAAGATAAGGAGATGAGGAGAAGGATAAAATCATAACAACACAAAAACAATTAATGGCAGGATAGCAATTAGACAAAAAAAAAAAAAAAAAAAAAGATAAAGATAAAGGTAGGAATTAAACAACTTGGGGGGGAAAAAAGTATACGATGGAGAGCCAGACTTTTAAAAGAGAAAGATGAAAAAAAATGCCATATGTCACGTGAAGGAAGGAGATATAACAATAGAAAACTATTTGTTTGTTTTTTTTTTTTTTTGCAATCACCAAATCCAACAATCAATATCAGAAAAAATCATATATAACGATAAAGCAATAGCCGAGACAGAAAAAAAAAAAAAGAGCATAGTACAAATAGCTTTTGATACACAACAATTCTGAATCTAGATATACAGCAAATGAACAATCAATTACGATTTTTTTTTTTTTTGTAATAGTTTCATCATCGAGCCTAAAAAAAAAAATACCTCCGTTAACTTTGCATATCATACAGGAATACTTATTTTTTTCAATTAAGCACAAGAATTCTTGTCAGAGGAAGGTTAGTAATTTTTTGGACATTTTACAGCGAAGTATGTTTTTGCATGTTAAAACTAAATTTATATGGGAGAAAATAACCGATTTGGTTGACATAATTGAGTCCACGTATACGCACACACAAACCTGAAGATTCCTTTTATGTGTGATTGAATAACATGTCCCACTCAGCGTTTCCCAATGGACTGGGTCAATCGTTCCTTCAGTGTGCTCTACGGATTTTATATCTTCCATTTCATTTCGTTTATGTCCTTTGAGCCAGAGTCAGGTGCAACTGTACAACTTGCTCACTTTATAAATGGACAGCTAGCTACTTGTAGCTTTAAAGAGTCCAACCAAATTCACTGGTCCTCTGTCACTGACACCTTCACCTTCTGTTATCAAGGCTGTCAAAGCTGTTGTCAAGGAAGGCAGATCAATAATTTCCCGACACACAGCAACTCTACTAGACTCTGTAGCTTTGTCAAACCCTTTGATTGGATATTTACTACTGGAGAAAAGAAAATGAGAAGAAGAAAAAATATATATTTTTTTCATCTGTTGTTTGGATATAGTAAAAATAAAAGAAAAGAAAATATATTTTTTTGTTTGGATAATTATAAAAAATATATATTATTATATTATTATATATTTACTATAATACACATATGATTATATTTCTATATTTAAATATTTATAATAAATTTGTATGAATATTTTTTTATTAGAATTACACAAATGATAATAAAATAAAAATCTAAGTATGTAGCATCTATTTCAAATGACAAAATGGATAATGAATCATCTCTCGTAGAATAATCGATAACTATTTACTAATTAATTAATTCAATAGTCAATTTAGATTAATTATCAACATAAAATTAATTTAAATATATATAACATGTATTATTATATACGTATATAATAAGTTTATCTGCGCCACTATGCTCCATTGGAGCTCTAGTTGTTCTTTAAGTCCAATAACCGAACTAGAACCAGAAACGCTATATTCTTAATCCAGTATTAGAAGACCCTCCACGTTTTACTCCTTTTCTTCTTCTTCATTGCTAAAAGCATTTCCAACTAAGACCTTATGTGCTTCACTCAATAAAACAAGACTTTCCGAAAAAGTATCCAAATAAAACGAGTCTACATCACCAAATAGTTCACAATCCCAATTAGTGGTCTTAGGGTCATATGAAATTAGCTCACCATCTTCCCTTGTTGATAGAACCTCATCATTTTTCCTAAATGCAATTAACCTTTTTATCTCTTCCAAATGTTCAATTAATCACTTTTTATACATCTGAATTATAATTAAAAAAAAATTGAAGAAATACAAAAAATAAAAAAACTAAAAATTTTCTCCTCCTCCTCCTTCCCTAACCTCCACCTTCATCATTCATCCAATTTCCACCATCACATTAAAAAAAATTGAACAAAAAATCAAGTTCAAGAGCATAGAACCTGATCGTTTTAATAACCCACAATCTTATCTCTTGTTTTTTTTTTTTTCCTGCCTTTTTGTTTTTTTAGGCCCTAGAAAAGACCATTGTGTCAGTCCAAAGCATTAGGACTAGCACATGCCTTCAGCTCAGGGCTCCAGATCCATTGCACCAAGAACTCCCTCCCTCTTCTACCATTCAAATTGAAGGTCCTGCCTTGCCTCTCTCTCATGACCTAGCCTATATACGCACCACCACCACCGGTCCCATATAACCCTTCGCAAAAATCCCCTATCTCAGTTGGTGATATTGGATCTTCCCCGGCATACCAAGCATTCACCAAAGGATTTGAAGACAATTCTGCAAGCTCATGGCTTATAACATTGATCATTCCTTCCAAACCCACATCCCCATTTGGTGGCTTCAAGGATATTGGCCGACCTCCACCAATGTAACTAGGGATGGTAAAAGGGGAAGACGATATTTGGGTTGTGAGGGGCGGCTTAGGATTACCAAGGTTCCTTGTCTTTGTACTTGCAGAGAGTGAGAAAAGGAGAGGGACGATGAGGCAAATGGAGGGCAAAAATGAGATGTAAAATTTTTTTTTGATGATTTCTTAGTTTTTTCTCTCGGTTTTTTTCTAATTTTGAAAGGAAAATGGATCCCATCATTTATAGATTTGTTTAATTTTTTTTTCTTTTCACTGCTTTCCTCTCAAAACCAAACGAAAAGAAAACATTTCTTTCCTCCCTATTTTCTTTCCTTTCCCTCACTTTCCTCCCTATCCAAACAGAGGGTAACACTCATTCTCAGAAACATTCAAAAGTTGAAGTTATTATTATTATTATTATTTAATATAGACTTTAAATTTACGATTTTGAAAATCAGAGCATCGGGCTTAAGTTCCGAAGCCTTGCATCTGCATCAATTCATCTTTTTCTCGAATAGATTTGGTTCGATTGCCAACTACGTTATTTAATGAAGTAATATATACATTCAATTAGGGTTGTTTGATAACCTATTTAAGTAATTTAAAAAATTAAGTTATAGTACTTAATATAAAAAGTTTGTTTAATAACTTAAATAATCTCATATTAAAAATCTAGGTTCAGTCAAAATCTACTTAATTAGATAAGTTAAATTTTTTAACTTATTAGTTTTTGATGAATACGCTCGATTGAAAGATTTTTAAAACTTTTTAAATATGATTATATCGCCTTTATATATTTTTATAACTTTAGATATACAAACCAATTGAAAAACAAACTCTATTATCTCCATTGCTAAAACAGAGAAAACCTTCTCCATTATCGATGCTACAATTTCAGAATCGAAATGTCAATTGATGTTATCTTCGATTGTATTTAATTTTTTATTTACAATTATTTTTATTGAATATTTATTTATTTATTTATTTGTACATACAAAATACATTTATGTATATATTTTTATTTGTGTTAAAAAATATAATGTTATAATTATAAGGTTAAAATTGTCATGTATATAGTCTTAATATGTTCAACAACGAGTACTTATCAAGTAAGTTTATTATATTTAGCATTTAATTTTCAGTAAATACCAAACAGACTTCTCATAAACATAGTTAGTACTTAATTATTCAGTACTTAAAATTCAGTACTTAACAGATTCAGCATTTAATTTTTAGTTTTATCAAACATCCCCTTAGTCTCATTTGAAAAAATTATTGTAATTTCAACTTTTCACTCTTATTATTATAAGCATGATAGGCTCGCAGAGTATATATTAATTTTTTCTAGTTTTAAGAAACAAATTAATTATTTTTTAAAAAAATTAATTATTTAATTTCTTAATTATTGGTAATCATACTTAATTAAGTAAGTTATAAATTAAATTTTTTTAATTTAAAAAAGGTCTTTCTTGCTGTAAAAACTAAATATTTAGTCCCTATATGTTTATTTTTTCATAATCTATTTTTTTATTTTTAATTTATTTTGATTTTTTATTTTAAGAAATAGAAAAATTAAAAAATAATTTAAAAAATGAAAGGATTAATAAGAAAAAAATATATTTTTTAAATAAAATAAAATTAAAAATTAAATGTGATCAACACCGATGAAGTGATTAAATAATTAGTTTTAAAATAAAAAAGACCAATTAGTTTATTTTTTAAAAAATAAAAAATTAATTTATAATTTATTATGCTTAATTTAATATTACTTTATTTTTAAAAAATTATCTTTTTTTCTCCTTAACCTTTTCATAATATCTATTTATTTTTTAATTTTTTAAACAAATGAACATAAAATATAAAAAAATTAAATAATTATTTTTTGAAATATAAATAGCTAATTAATTTATTTCTTAAAGCTAAAGGGACTAATTTACAATTTATTCTAAGGTAGTATGTGCTTTTATTTATTTATTAGAGATTCAAACTTAAGACTGTTGATGAAATGAGAGATACTCTATATATATATATATATATATATATATATATATATATATATATATATATATATTTCCCTGTAATGTAAAAGAAATTGTGAAAAGTGAAATAAAAATTTGATATTAAATGTGCCGACAGTTTATTTTCTGAAAGAGGTGCTAGATTTTTGCAACAGTTTCACCTTCCATTTGCATGGTTGACATAAAGAAAGACAGGCACGTGGGGAACAAAGAACAGCACACAGAAAATCTACCCAAGGCTAGGATGGTAGGTGGTTGGTCCCTAATACTGACACTAGCAATAGTAGCTACCAGCCTGCAACTGACATTGGTTTTGGTAGTTGCACTCTCTGTTTCTGTTTGCTCTACCATCCCTATTTCACCCTCCATTATTATTTCTCTATTTCTCCAAGAAGTCATTCTAAAACCTAAAATTTTGATTGCTTTTTTTTTTTCCCTTCTTTTCCGTCTTAATCCCTCCATCTTATTTACTTGCATATAACCCACTCGCCGAAACTTCAAGTCTGATACCAAATGTGGCACATGAGCCCGTTTTGTGCTTAATTACATGCATCTTTATTTAGGTCCATTTCTATCCAGTCATTTGTTGATGGTGGGGTAAGATAAACTTGTGGATTCCTGGTATGCCAGCAATAGTCCAAAAAATAGCATTTAGTCGGTCTTATTTTATGTATAAGTTAATTCAATATATTATTAAATATAGAATAAAACAACAGACTTTAAGATTTTTTGTTTGGATTTTACGAAGAAAGGATTCAAATTTCAGTCATTTAGAGATGACAAAAACTCGGTTTGGTTCTATTATGGGTTTAAGTTAAGTAATTTTTTATCCAAATTTTAAAAATAAAAGTATCAGATAAAGAGTTTGTTATATTATCTTAGAAAAAAAACATGTAAAAACTGATTACCTTACTTCCTTTACAATAATTAATTAAAAAAATGTTTTACTTATACATACAACAAAACCAAGCATATCTTAAATGACCAAATCATTGCATTCCATCTTTTAGTGATATTGCTACGAATAATTATATTTTTTCACAATTAGATGGACTTTAAATTGGTTAAGTACAAGATGCGTTGCAAATTTCATACTATTTTTTTTTTAATTGTCATAAAAAATTAAAGATATTTTTAAGAAAAAAAATTCAGAGATACCATTGATTGATACTTTTAATGTTGGTGATGGTAATTAGTTAGTGATGGATCACATGCAACTCACGATTCTATATTTTTGGTTGGCGTCAAAGATTTGATTGATTATCGTGAGATTTGGCTTGGTATTATTTTATACATGCAACTCATTATTATTATTTTCTTCGAAAAATTTAAACGAGTGATGTGGAAATATAATTCAGTGAGCAAGTGACAAGTATAAAATAGGCCCAATTGATTTTCTCTCTCTCTCTTACTTACCACTCTTTCAACTGCACATATTTTTCATGTGATATTTGAATTAAAGTTGATATATATATTCAAGGGGTGTTATATAAATCAAAACTAAATCCATCATTTTTTAGATTAAATCAATGCAATAGCTCGTTTATCTTTTAATAGATTACCGGACTCTCTTTTAGATCAAATGATCCCAAGTCTAGTCATCTTTTGTATAAATTAAAATTAAATCCATCAATTTTTAGATTAAGTCGGTGCAATAGCTCATTTATCTTTTAGTTGACTATATGACTTTCTCTTAAACCAAATGAGTTCAAGTCTAATGCAATTAAAAAATAACTATAAATAATTATTCATGGATAGTGAAAATTTAACTTTAGTTTTTGTGAAATCAAGATAATTATCTTATTGCTAGACCTCAAATTCCTTGGTGGTAGGAGCTGCATGAATTAGAATAAAGATGTTATGTTTATGCAACTATACAAAAAATAATAATAATCTATAATCATCCTTATATAAAAAGATTATGTTATTTCTTGAGACAACTTTTTTTATGATAATTTTTTTTTCATACTTTTTTTTTGTCAAGAACATGGTTCGAGAATCAAGATTGTTTAGTTTTAAGCCTCTAATGCAACTATATTATCATATAAATTTGAAATTTGTTTGATAAAGGAAAAATAATAACTCACCGACCATTTGTCCGCGATACGTTATGGATTGAGTAGAATAAGTAAAATTATTTGAAAAAATTATTATAGTTCGATGATTTTTGTCATGCTTCAACTCTACAAAAACACATGAAAAAAAATGCCTAAATGAGCCCAAGTTTGGTCAACTTTTGTATAAATCGAAATTAAATTTACCACATTTTAGATTAAGTCGGTGTAATAGCTCGTTTATCTTTTACTCAACTATCGGACTCTCTCTTAGACCAAATGAGTCTAAGTTTAGTATGTGTGTGTATATATATATATATTGTTGGGCCAACTTTTGTATAAATTAAAACTAAATTCATCACTTTTTAGATTAAGTTAGTGCAATAGCCCGTTTATCTTTTAGTTGACTATCGGACTCTTTCTTAAACCAAATGAGCCCAAGTCTAGTACAATTGAAAAAAATAATTATGAATAATTATTCAAGGACAAGTGGAAATTTGACCTTAGTTTTTGTGAAATCAAGACAATTATCTTACCACTAGACCTCACATTCCTTGGTGGTAGGAGCTACATGAATTAGGATAAAGATTTCATGTTTATGCAATTATCCAAAAAAATAATTTATAATCATCCTTATATAAAAAGATTATGTTATTTCTTGAGACAACTTTTTTTTTTTTTATGATAGTTTTTTTTTCATATATATATATATATATTGTCAAGAACATGGTTCAAGAATCAAGATTGTTTTTTAGCCTCTAATACGGCTACATTATCGGATAAATTTGAAATTTGTTTGATAAAAATAGTAACTTACCGGCTATTTGTCCGCAATACATTATAGATTGAGAAGAACAATTAAAATTATTTGAAAAAAATTATTATAGTT